AATTGGACTCTAAAACATAATGAATATTGTTTTTATTTTCATGAAATAGATTTAATATTCTTTGTAAAAATCAAACAAATAATTATGTTATATAAAGTATCACTTATATTTATTTATTTTGTCCTTAGAAAATATTCTTTAGAATAAGTTTATTTTTTTTTACTTGAAATATATAAATAAATTAACTTACAAAAAGAAATTAATCTTTTTAGAAAGTTGTTAGTACAATCAATGAACCTAAATAAAGTACGTACAAAAGTATGTGCTCATTTCATTTCAACGCCAGTTCAACTTAAGTATCTATTACATTTGTTGTCTTACTTGAAATTTAACAAAAAATAGTTTTCTTTTCATAATTGATTTGGTCACATGGATTATTGAAAACTGATCATCGTGTATATGTTTTCAAGAATAAGAATGAAATAAAACCTTGTTATTCTTATTTATTGATAAATAAAAATACGCAAGATAATAAGTCTAAAATACAAAAATTTTCAAATAAAAAGAATAATTAGAAAATGACCATAGTATTTTAGTGAAGACTTCGATATTATGTAAAGAATAAAAAAAAGTTTTAAATAATTTTAATCTTTATATTAGTTATTCGTTATATCGTAGATTTGCATCGAGCTGAACCTAAACTGAACAGTTTAGACTTGGTCAGGTTTGAACTTTGTTAGACTTAGCATTAGTTTGACTTGGGTTCAGTCAGATCCCAAAATAAGTCTGACCAAGATTGAATAGCTCGAGCTTTGTAGACGCCTAGTTTCATTCTATTTCAATGCAAGTATCAAATTATTCAAGGCAATGAATTCTAGAGAATTTCTAATTTTCTTTTATTTTTTATTGAGCACTTTTCAATGTGCTGAATTCAGTATTCCTAGTTGTCATTATGGCTCTAAATGACTCGATTTACGTTGGAAAGAATCTTGTATCTTTTCTCAGCACTCATATGCCTCATTTACAAACTTTGCATCGTTGACGATCAGATGATTTTTCTTGGACATTTAGTAAGTGTATTTTCGAAAGAAACTATGTAGATATGTATAATTTTTACTATTTAGAATGAACTACTGCCTGCACGTCTCTAATATAATAATAAATTTTCATCAATTTTAGAATCTATATATATATATCTCGTTTTGTGGAACTCACACATATTCTTAAAGAGAATGCTGAGTATAATTGGCAAGTCGAAGTTTTTCAGCTACATCATCCTCTCCAAAAAAACAGGACAAATTTCTGTTCCACGTTCAGAAATAAATTAGACAGATTTATACTGCAACGATTAATTGCCTTGAGAAACAACTAAAATCTACAACATATTGCTCATTTCAGTATATTCTGTTAGTTTAAAGGAGGCTAAGGAATTTATTCGAATTCCATATTTCATTCGCAAAATGAACTGCGCTAACAAGAGTTTTAGCTTATCCTTTTATTTCTGAATCTGAATTAAGGTCACAGAATTTATAAACCTTCTTAAATTATCGTTCGCTGTACAATTTAGTTTTATTATCATTAGCGATAGCTATGAAATAAGTCGTTGACAAAAACAAATAAGTGTCTGACTATAATCTCTGATTTAATCTTCGTAAAGTTTGATTTTTTAGTCTTCCATACCTGTATGCATGTAAAAAAAGCGAAGAAAAGAAAACAATCAATTTTAATCAAACGAAAAGGCATACCATTTTTATGGATCTGTAATAAAACACATCATCTAGTTTAGTGTGTGTTTTTTTGTCAAAAACTATTCTGTAAATTACAATAAGGTTCTATCCTATAAATTATTTTTCCTTCACTATGTGGGACATTCTAAAAATGATTTTCTTTTCTCATTTATCACTATCTATACAATATTCCTTTTTATATATCTTCCAAGAATAAGAATCAGTTACAATATTGTGTTCAAAAAGAAATGAAGCATTGGTATTTTACTTGAAAAGAAAAGAACTCAACATGAAGAAGATGATTATTTCTTGTTTAATAAGATAATAAAATTTATAACTTCGAGAACTGTCTATAATATTAATTTAAATTATTATTTATTTTTAGTTCGACTAAATATTCAATCAGGATACTTTTATCATATTGATGCTTCACAATAGACACAAAATTTAGAAACATCAAGAGCGATTGGTATGTAAATAAAGAAAACCAATACATAAAGAAAAAGTAATATTTTTGTTTAGTTCAAAAATGTTTTCCTCATAGTAGAATCAATATCGAATTATCAAGATTTTGTCTTCGGATATAATTTTCTATTTGTCATATATATATTTCTACATTAAATATAATTAACACTAGAATAATTTTTCTCTACTTTTGTTAATGTATACAAAATATTTGGTAAAAATAAAATTTTCTAGCAAGGCCTGAATAATATGAAATTAAAGCAAATTTTTTTCCTCGTGTTTTTTTAATAAATGAGTAGATAGAGTTTGACAAGTTGAGGGTGTGGATGTCAGTTTTGGTAGTCTGTTTAATCATACCCACACTCACCCTTTTAATTCTGACTATTGGACAATACATTTCACCAAATTGATGTGAAAAGAAATATATCCACTTTATCAGTTCAAAAAAATTAATTTTTGTTTTTTCATTTTGTTTAATATTTGTAGGAGATAGTTTTTCTCTTGATAGAATGTCTGAAACTATTTATACTGTTATTTGATAATCAATCAAACTAAAAAATTATCTTAAGAGAGTTCAGGCTCAAGATTTTTCTTGTGCAGTTAAAATCTCAGCAAGATGATTAGAAGGAAGTGAATTCGTCTTTCCATCAATATCTAGTAGTATTAATACTTCAAGAATTAGAATACAATGATGTTGTCATAAAATACAATTGATAATCTAGTAATGATAAATGGGATAGTCTCTTTTATAAAATTCGATTTATTAACAAATTCTTTTTTTCATTTCTTTCATTATGTGTTTAATTCGAGTTTTTTTTGTTGTTGATAATCCCATCAAAATACTTTCGAAATAACTTTTCACAGTGTCAAAAAAGCATTTTTAATCTTTTGAATTCCTAATAAAATTTCGGGTTTTTTCTTGAAATAATTTTAAAGCATGATCAAGAGTTATTTCATTTCAATATTTTCTAATTTATCACAAAATGTTTTATAAGGTTCATTATCAATTGTTACGTCTTGGAATGAAATGAAACAATATCTTATTTTAATTTTGCTAAACTGTTACAAATTCCTTTGATTATTAAAACACTTGCATGATTTTCCTATTGCCATTATTTATTCTGCTCTCAATGGAATAATTTCTATGCGACTTGCTTGATTAAATATCTTTACACTTTTAATAATTCTCTATAATTGCATTTAATATATAATGAAAACATGGATGATTTTATTTTCTTTTTGCTTCATTAATTTTTAGAATTTTATAAATATCATTTTCAAATTTATTTGAATTTTCTGTTTTTATGTTTATCAATATGATCTAAGAGAGAAATGGAATAAAATATTTGTTCTGCTCTATGGAAAGCGGTTTTTTTTAGGGTCATCACCTTATTCATTAATATTTATATGCAATTTGACTAAAACTTTCACATCAATATGTCCTTCAAAAAATCTTCTTTGCAAAGCAACTTCTAAATTAGACGTTTTATATTTTTTAAGTGTATCAGACTGATTAGGCATAACTTCTTTCTCTTTTCTCTTGTTTAAGAATATCTGTTATTAAAGACATGATTTTTGAAGCACACTAAACGAAAAATGTTTTTGAAAAATTTTTAATAATTTATAAAATTCTATATTAAAATTAAGAAAATAATCAATAACTTTTGTAATACTTTGTTTTCCTTCAATTAATTCTAACTCGAATTTGAATTTTCTTAATCTCTTTCATTTTATTTTGATAAATGGAACTTCTTATCTTTCAATAAGCTATCATTGATTTTAAATAAGTAGAAGATCGATTTAAATATTCAGCATCGATATTTATATTCACAGCATAATGAGATAGATTTTTTGTTTGTAATAAGTTAAGAATTTAATTTTTAGAATTTTGTAAAATTTTAACTAAAAAAGTCATCTCTTATTTCTTTAATCAAAGTATCTTGACGAATAGATTATATTCAAATAGTTGAACTATTTCTTAACTTCAATATCATTTGTAATAATTTTCTCATCCACTAAAATATCTTCATTTAATTTAAATTAGTTTCTTCATATATTTTCTTTTACTTTATCGATTTTAATGCTATATTAAGACTTGAAAAAAAAGTCTTTAATATAGCTGTTTAAATTTTTCCTTGCATGAAATGATACAATAATATCATTAGGATGAATTTTCTCTAGAATTCTATTTGATTATCATTTAATGTTTTATGAAAAACATATTCTCCATTAAATTGTACTAGAATAGAACTATTTTAATTTCCTTCTAGTTTTTTAAACGTATTAACTTTTCAATTAAATCAATTATAAATGGATTAAAATAAAGTATTGCTTTTAAATTAGATAATTGAGATTTTGTTTAAAAAAATTATTTAAACTATTATCAAAGATAATTTTCAATGACATACAATCATTAGAAGTTTTGTTTTTTGTATCTGTTTTAGTTTATTTATTGGAATTTGTATAACTATGATCTAATTTAAATAAAAGATCAACTGATGATTTTAATTCTCGATGTAGAATAGATTTAGTAACTATTTCTTTTAGTAACTTAAGGTTTGAAAGACATTTTTTAAATAAATCAATGAAATTTTGAAGATATTATTTTTATTTTTGTTGATTTTTATTATTTAATAAAATTGTAGATTGTAAACTATCATAAAAACAAACTTCATATTGATTTTTATAATATTATTCAATATCATTTATATAAACAAATTCTGTTTTTCCTTCTTCCCACTCAGCTATAAGGTTAGAGAACACTTTCAAGACCATGGAATTTTCTATCTTCAATCTTACCTTCATATTCATATTCATCTGATAATTATACTTTTCCATAACCTACTTTAAGTTATTCCATTCTTAAATTCACGATGATAAAAGAATTGAACCGTGATTTTTAAAATTATAATCATATCCATCAAGTTTATTATCTTTCCATGAACTAGAATAATATTCTTCTTCATCATTAATACTAGATGTAATTAACGCTTCACGTAATTTTTCGTTAATTTTACCATAATAAATTTTGTTACCGATCGATAAAAGATGTGAATACAATTGATCTTCTTTCCTGTTAATCATTGAAATTTCAGGCCAATATACAATATCAACAATATCATTTTCATCACTACTACTATATTTATCATCATTTTAATGATATACTTTAATAGATCTTATATCTTGAAGAGAAGATTTCTTTTCTACTTCTTTACTTTCAATATTAACAAGATTTAAGTTGGGACCTATGATGGATTTTTATAAATTAAAATCTCTTTCTTTTTCACGATTCGTCATTATTTTCTATTATTATCGCTTAATTTAATCCTTATCTCTTAATATATACAATAATACGTCTTGCTAATAAAAGAATCATATAAATAACGAAAGCAAAAACAAAAGTGATGTTGTCGACAGATGAAAGAAGGAAATACCGTTTCTTTTTATTAACAGTGGCAACAATTTGGGATACATTCGATTGGTCTGAATCACTTATATTATGTGCTTCATATTCACTCGTGAAATATTTATGTATTTTGAAATTCGCAACGTCAGTACAATATTTTAATTTATTATTAAGTTGCAATAATTATATCCGACGTAGTATTAAGAAATTATGACAAAAAGGAAAGATTTTGAAATACGTAATAAATAATAGAAGAAATATAAAAGAAAAATAAATTAGAATAAATTTTTTAGAATAAATTTTTAGAAAAATATGATCAGTTTATGAGTCAAGAAGAAATACGACTTGCTGTAATAAAACAGTAAGCTATAATATTATCAGGAGAAATAAATGAACTTTAACATTTATTTCGAGATCATTTAGGAAATGGACAAGTATTAAGCGATAAAAATATAGTGGCTAAACTTTATTATCATATTGCATATACCAACAATTTAGTTAAGAACAACAAATAATAACTGATAAGATGAATATTGTAAAAGAAATATCTTTGAGATTCAATTTGCAATCTATATTTAAGATTGTATATTCAACAAAATAGTTTACCAGAAAGTCTTGAAAATATAGTCGTACTTGTCAAAACTGAAAATTCTAATGAACAGGTTAGTTATTTTGAAGATAATGGGTTTAGATTAACGATGGAATACATTTAAGATCTATTAGAATTCGAAATATTATTCTTGAGAACATAAGATATTATGATAAAAGTGGGCTAATTCACAAAAATGAAAGAAATGCAAAACAAGTAGAAAGTATTACTAAAGCTGCGCATGTGCAATATGATCGTACGTCCATTAATGTAAAATATTACGTATTAAACATAAAGAAAGAGAGCAGCTGGAACAGAATTCAAAAAAAAATAAATTTCTAGTAATACCTATGATTCTGTTAATTATGCCAAAAATACTGTAAAATCGATATTTAATCAATTTAGGTATGAAACTTTTTTGGAATAAATAATTTACCATCAATTCTATTTTATTTTTTATCTGAAATAATTGAATATAATTTAGATATTTGTTTTATAGAACAAGCTGAATATTACATGGATGTATAAAGAAATATGGTTCGATAAGATTTTAAAAAATCTAAAAGAAAAAGAAAATAACTGGGAAAGTTAATTTTGGATTCCCGAGAAAATAAAAGAATTTTTTAAATTAGATATTTGTCAAAAAAGAATCAATTTCGAGTGTCTTTTTTACAGTATATTTATTATAATAAAACTACAAATCTTTGGTTTTGGTGAATTACTTGACATATTAGCAAATAAAGATGTATTTTTAAACATTGATCAAAATTTAAAAGATATTCTTTAGTTTATAGGATACGACCTACTTCAAGAACATTATCGTCAAGTTATTTATCGCTTTTTATGAAAAAAATTAAATTTTTAGAAGAATTTTTTCCTCCTAGGGAATAAATTATAATTCCAAGAATTTATCAGAAAAAAAAGTTATAGTATCAATTGATATAAGAAAAATCCTTATGAGAAAAAGTATCTTTTATTACTGATTGAATATGATTTTTATTTTTTTATTAAATTTTGATCAAAATAATATTCCTAAAATATTTGGAAAAGCAATTGTTCTTGACGACAATTCAAGACAGTGACGATTATAAAGCTTATTTGTTTGAAAGATAGTCTTTGGCTTAGGGTGTGGGCGTGGGTGGGGTTGAGTAGGTGTGAGTGAGTCTTCAGTTCGATCAGACGTACATCCGTATTCACATCCACACTCACACCCACATCCACACCCTTTGTTCCTTTAAGTATATATGAGAATAGTAAGTCCGTCGCTCGTGTGTTCACACGATATGCACAACGGCATAGATCCTTCCAGTAGAGGGTTAGCGACGTTTGCGTCGCGTTACTTGTCTTATCAGGATTAATTATTGGTGAAGATTCAATGTAATCTATATGGTGTTGTTTCAATTGTTGATCTAGATCAATAATTAAAAATCGAAATTTGAAAATAATATCAATATTCATTGTTCGAAGTGCTTTGTTTACGAATTAATAGACAAATGAATCACGAATATACTAATCTATTACGGTTTCAGGAGAATAATCCTTTTCAAATTCATCAATTTTTTTTAAAATTTTAATGGATTATTTTTATAATATAGACGACATTCTGCAATCATATCTTGTTTAGCTAGATTGTTATCGAGTGGAATACGAAGTAGAATATCAAAGAAAGATTGAAACCACATTAAACTAATATTTTCTCCAATAATATAATCACGAATCGAATTTTCTTCAGTTGTTATATATGTTCTATGGAATATACTCATGGTCAATAAACTTTTTTCATATGATCGAACTTTAGCTGTCGAATTATGAAAAAGTTCATATTTGTCAGTAAAAATGTCACATATTTTTTCATATTTATATGTCCATTCCAAGTGTTTCTCTTTATTCATACAAAAGACATAAATAAATTTCAATTGAGATTCATTGTAAATATAGGACATTACTATTTCGCCTAATGATCCGGAAATAATTACAAATAAATGTTCATTCAATACGGATTGAACATAATCAATCGTTTCTTAAACATAATCAATCGTTTCTTAAACATTGTCGAATACTTTACAATAGTTAACAATTGTATTTAAACGATATTTCGTATATAAACAATCTAAATTTTCATTTATGTTTTCATCCAACTAAAATTAGAGTCACATCTTCATAATTCAATTCTGGTAACATGCATGATGCAGTTGATACATCATTATATTAAATAGATCGAATATTGGACAAAGTCATCAATGATGATTATAGAAATGGTAATATTTTCGATGAACTTTAAGCAAGGAGAGTTTTTTTTGTTTGCAGCTATAAAACAGATTAACAAGCAAGCCATATAAAATGTTTCACTTTCAATTCAGTTAGTAATTTTTTTTTCAACATTATATAGTCAAAAACGTGTTTCGCTATTGTTTATCAAGTATAAGAAATTTAAAAAAAAAATTGTCAGCGCATTAGTATCCTACGAGAACAAATTTTCTCAGTTCTTGTAATGTTTTCAGAATTTCTATTGCGATTTCATTTTTTATGTTTGATAAGTACTATCATTACCAGACACTAGACTCTGTCAAAGTTGTCTTGTGTAACGTGAAATGGGTTTAAACTAAAAAAAATAAAATTATCATTGCATTATGTTACGATAATTAAAATCTTCATCAATTGAAAAGAGAAAAATTTACTAACACATCAAACAACACCTATGGAAAAACGAAAACATTCAAAAAGAAAAGGTAATAATAATACTATATTGCAACATAATCTGAATAATAGTTCTTACTAAGATGATAATGATAAAGAAAATAATAGCTACGATAATTGAGTTACAATATAAAGCATAATAAATAAACTTGTCTAAGTTTTATTGAGAGGTTTTTGTTATTTTTTTCTGTTTAGAGATCATATAAATACAACAAAACAATGTAAAAATGATTTTCAGAAACGTACATTTTTATGAAAAATGATCTGAAAGCAGTATTGAAGTATATAGCGCTAGAAAATTGGTCCTCCTACAAACGTCAGCGAAAAACCATCATAGACGGTGACAAACGTTGCTAATAGCGTCTCTTTATAATATGTGAACTACTTCATTTTTGCATTTCTAGAGGACTAAGCAAAAGGATGGTGAAGAAATGTATCGTAAAATGGATAGAATCAAACAGTCTCTCTGTGATTAGCAACAGCAAATACATTGTGGATCACATTTTAATCCCACAGGAATTATGTTAACAGTTTTTAGTATCATTTCTATTCCCAAATTCTTTATGAGAATTCTCGTTACCGATTCACGAGGAGAATGGAATGGAAAGGAGTCGCTCTCACAGGACACTACTGCGCAGCCTCTTTCGAGTTGAAATGTTGAACTCATCTGAGTTTTTTTAACCTTATTATATCCATATAATTTCAAGAAAGAGTTGATTAATGTTCTAGGATTTTCTAGAACAATCTAAGTCTTGCTATTAATCTTGTTGAGCGCTTTTTTTCGTTGCTAATGAACTCTGAAAAAGGAGTCGGACGCCTGTTGTCATCGGTCTTTCACTCACTATGTTCTTCGAAAATATACGCGAACTCTACAAAACGTTGCCAACAAATTATGTTGAACGGGAGAAGGGTTAGTATATTGTGTGTACCCTTACTGGCATCCTAGCGCACACAGTCAAATCTATCCTCAACCACCTACTTTCGATTCTCCTACAGGATACTTTAAGGCTAACATGTTCTCCGACGAATTGTCCTAGGACTATAACAAGAGAATGAAGACCGACGATACCGACACGATTCTAGAAATGAAAGATCTGCTTTCAATCTGATAATAGCCTCCTTTGCAAGTGTCTAGCTATTTCATGCGATTCAAGCCATCGATAGATCGTTCAATGTAATGTGCCCTATACTGATTGGACTATCTTCTGATCGTCGTTCTACCATAATATACCTGATAGTTATTCGCCAATTGGTGAAATGTGAACAAACGTGCTATGTGAAATGTACCATCTTTCGAAAGGATTCCTTTTTCAAAACAACGAGATTCATGATAAGTACGTTTCTAGCTTTATACAGATAAAATAGCAGCATAACCACAGAACAAGATCAAATTAACAATGGATGCAATTTTTATGTCGTTCAAGATGAATAGGTCATTTAGACCTAATCAAAAGAAAACAAATCTATTCCATCGATAGATATACGTTGCTATTTCATGTAGAAAAACATTATATGAACTGTCCTGTTGACCTTCTTCAGTGAAAATATTAATATAATAAACCGTTAAGAATGTTTCCACAACATTAAATTATTTTGAAAATACGCGCTAACTTATGGTTAGTCAATGCCATAAAAAATATTTTTATTCAAAACAAAAAATGCTTTTATATATTTATAAGTAACTTTTATTTATACAATAAAACACATATTTATGAATGCAAAGAAAGAAAAAAACGGTGTTATACAACTTCAAAATCATCATCGGAATCCAATGTTAGAACTAGAACAGAAAAAACAAACAAATCAATAAATTGTATTAGTTATTTTTCTAATATTTTTACCTCCATGATGATGTGCTTGTTTATTATGAACATCAAATGGATTTGATTGACATATTTCAAACATTGGTTTCGATGGAAGATTCTAATAGAAAGAAAATTTCTATTTGGAATAAAACATGTTTATTTATTACTTGTTTTAATTTTGTAATCAAATCATCAAAATCAGCTTCAGTTTTACATGCAAAAGCCTATGAAAATACATAATAAAATATACAAAAATCAAGAAAAATAATATTACTAAAGCTAGAGATGGATCAAGTCCAGAAAATTTCATTCTATTAACTCGATCACAATGATAGGTTATATCATCAGCAGTTACAGTTGTATCAACATGTTGTTGTGTTACATGTGGATCAAGATAAAGAAGTTCATCAGTTTCTAAATTTGACAACAAAATAAAATAAAGATAAATATTTAAAAAAAAATAAAATAAACAAATATTTCGATTACCTAAATAACCAATGAAATAATGTGCATGATTAGGTTTACCACCAATACAACCAAGTGTTTGAGGCAATCGAAAACACAGCTTTAAAATAAAAGAAAAAATAGTTTCAATGAAGTAAACAATAAAAATTAAAGAATCTTTTTTTTTTATTCAATTTTAACATAGTTTCTTGCTCTTCTAATAGATAGAATTTGTTTTCGTCTTGAAATTTAGTTAAGTGTAGAGATATGCGTGGTCAAAATTTTTTTTTATGCAATTTTTCAATACTTGTTTTTTGATTTATTTAGTTAAGATACGAGATTCTGGAAAGTCTAATAATTGTATAATGAATCAGTTGTATTGAAAATTTAATTTATGCAAAGACTGCACTCAAAAGCTGATTTTGATATTTTATTTAGAAAAAAAAATCACTGAAATAGCCATAAGAGACTGTACGGCAATCATATGATCTCCCTCTACATAATTTCTTTTTACTTAAAGATATCCACATTTTTGGGAAGTGTCTTAAAATTTTCTGATTCGACACATTTCTTTGGAGAGTTAAGCTATTGCTTTTATGTCTAATACTTTTACAGAGATAAAGAGATATAATTTTATCAATTAGGCGCGAAATTAAATTCTCTATCAACTCATTTCGTCGTGTTCTTCTATACATATAGCTTGATGTGACACTTCAAATGCTGACTGATTCATCTTTTGATGCCGTAAGGAGCTTAGCACTTTGACATATTATACAAAAGTCCGTATAGAATGGAAATATAGAGGTAATCGGCTGAAAAATAGAACTTTTTTTTGTTAGATAATTGATTCTTTTAAGTAGCCTCTGCATAGGGTGTACCATTCGCCTGACTAACTCTTTTCCTCTTCGGTAATAATAAGTGATGGTTTCGAGACTTTCTTAAGGAGTAAACGACGTACTCTCGTACTCCACAATATACGAAAATACGTCGTTCTCCCCTTGAACTTTCTTCTATTTCCCAATTGATCACATGACTTCTGAACACTTGACATAAGTAGTTTATTCCTTAGCCATGTTTTCTCGTTAATGAGAAATTCGATTTAAAATAAATTGATTATGCATTATCATATAGCTCTGTCTTGTTATAACAAGAATATAGAAAAATCGTGCCATCGGATTTCTACTTCTAAGCTCCTACCATTTTCCTGATTTTTTTTGCGACCGGAAATTCACGAATCCGGATGTCAGAATCAGTGAACTAGATTATTAATAGTGAACCTATCCGCATCTCAACATATCCTATGTCAACATGACACAAATCGTACGTAATAAAAACTTTTTCTCTTTAATTCTTTTATGAAAAAAAAACCAATCAGATAATCATGTTAACTTCATACCTTAAGTTGTTCAATATATTCTGTATTAACATTCGTCAAACCTAATCTTAATGGAATAACTATAACTAATGGCTTCCAACCACTTGGTGTATCATTCGATTTTTTTGTTGTTTTACGAACTTTTGAATTAATTTGACATAATTTACCTTCAAAAAAAGAAAAAAAATTTTTTTTTGTATAATTTCTTATTAAATTATTCTGAACAAAACTAACGTATTTCATCAAGTACAAGCGTATTATCCATTGCCACATGTACATTAATTTGTCTATCAAATTCATTCGAAGCGATACGTCTAAATAAATTATTTATTTATTAATAATTTTTTTTTTTTATTAATTCATATTACCTAAGTACTTGAGCAATTGTATTTGGACCAAACCATTGTCCAATTTCTTTACCTTCAGAATTTCCCATTTGTACTAAAATAAATTTAATTGTTTATTTGTACAGAGATTACAAAAATAAAAAAACATTTAGAATGATTCATTCGAATCATTTACCAACTCTACAAACCGATTTGATGAATCGAATATGATGAATGACGTTTATCAATAAACATATTTAATATTTCCCAATAAACTGGATCACTTATATTTGGACGCCATCGAAAATCTATTTAAAAAAAAAATTTTCAATCATCATTTCTTTTTCAATTGACATACATCTTCCTGCAGGTAAAAAAAATCTAATATAACTTTCAGCTAACATCATTTGACCACAACGCATCATACAACCCCATCCTGTATCTCTTGTTGGACCTGATGGACTACCTTAAATATAAAAATCATAGATCTTTGTCAACTAATTGTTTTATTTCATTTAACTAACCAATTGGTGCAAATCCAGTTCGATATGTAAACCAAAATCTACTTACAACATCATCAAGTATTACATAAATATCTATTTGTAATAAATAAATTAAATAGAGAACTTTTTTGATGTCAAATCATTTACCATGAGGAGTTTTATATTCAACTCCAAGAATATATAAGGTAGTATCTGTATCAGATAAACTATCACTATCAGAACCACTTCCTTCAAACATGGATGCAGCTAAACTTAGAGCTAAAAGAAAAACCAAAAAACAACGTTTGTTTTTTTTTCAAATAAATTCATTTTATTTTTCTAACCCGCACTATTCATTGTTTGAAACAAGTTATATTAATAAACATAGAATAAAAACAAATATGAATAAATAACACTTTTGAAGAAAAGTAATAGATAAAACGAAGAATCAGTATCAGCTGGTATTTGAGTACGAATATTAATTGGTTAAATTCATTGACCATTTAATAATATATATATATGTCAAATTAATTTATTTAAGATTTGTTTCTTGATAGATTAAATTTAACATGAAATAAGAAACAAGGAAGTGATATATAAAATGATTTTTTTAAATGAAGATAAACATAGAGGACGCCACTACTGGAATACTACATCCTGTGGGATACTAGTAGACACCCATGGTAAATGGAACAATTCAAAAAAAAAATAATGAAAACGATTTTATCCAGTTTTCATACGGAATAGAGAAGTATTTCATAAACATCATGAGATATATTCTCATGGTACTTGGTAGATAAATTTTAATAATCTTATTTCTAGATAGGACAATTGCTAATATTTCACGGCAATATTTTGCTAAGATGGAACTGTATTTCGTTCTTTTTATCCTGTTAATTTCAAGTCTCAATTAATGTTTTTTAAGCTAGTTTAGATATTGATGGATAGATTTTATTGAGATACAGTGAGTTATCGAGTAATGATGTACAAATATTCATATATTCTTCGCTTATCATTGCTTTTCCAGTAAGTCAGTTTCATCGATGATAGAATCCATTCTTTCACGTTCTAGATGCCTAGTAGAAAGTTTATCTAAGTTTCAATGGTGTTGCTTAGTATATATATCGAAGCAACAGTTCGTTAACATTGAAAAACAGCAAAAAACGACTGTAGTGAGTTACTTGTCAAAAAAAAAATATCCTTGCAGTTATTGTCGTTTTTTATGCATGTGTGTGTGCATCCCTCTTTCATACAATCTACGTTGAATGTAATCTGTGATGATTAATCTATATGCAGGACTTCTATTTAAATGTAATGAAACGGTTCGTACAATAATTGAAAGTATACAGAGGATACTACCTAGGGTGCAATTCAAGCGATGAAAATACAATCCTGATGCGATGTATTGATTGTTTATTAAAACTGCTGTAAAGAGCGTTGTGTACCTATCTATGAAAAGCGGCAATCGTTTTTCATCGTTTAGGACGGTAATTACACTGTTGCTTCAGTATTTTACGCAGCTGTATTCAAATACTATTTGAAATTATTGAGATTATTAATCATACAATTATTAAATGAATTTTTATTGTAAAGATCAAAGAATAGTATATTACCGAAATATCAAAAAATAAATATGATTTTGATTCATTAGAAACCATATAAGAAAAAAAGATATGAAATTAGACGTAATTTTTATAAATATTATTGTATCCTCTTGCAATAGTATAGTCATTTTTTTTGTCTTCGGATATTAACTTGTAATAACTAATTGTCATTGTTAAAAATTTAATAAGATCCAACGTGTGAAAAAAATGAATATCTGCTTTATTTCATTTCCCTACGTTCATTAAATGCTATATCCTGGTATTTATTCATAAGATAGTGATGTATCGATTATCTCTAATTATTTTATTCAATAGATATTAAATTGATGATAAAACGATTTTCATTCTATAGTCAAGATTTCAACATTATTGACAAGTTTATAAAATCTATTTAATTTTATTATAATTCTTTAAAAACGAATAATAGTAAAAGAAAAACTTAATAAATGTATGACTAGTAAGTATAAAACAAATAAAGATGACAAAAAAAAAGAATTTACGCTAAAATAAAAAGAATTTCACCATTATTTTTTTCTCCAATTATTTTTGGATATTCATTTTTAATATTTAATTTCATTGAATCTATTGATGATAATGTTGATGGTGTTTGTTCATGTTTATCAATAATAAATATTGATTGATTTGAATATATATCTTTATCAATATTTTGTTTTAAATTTCGAAATAGAAACCATATTAATGATAGAAATAATATAAATATAAAACCTATTAATATTATTAATATTAATATTAATTCATTAAAATAATTATTATTTTTTAATGTTTTAGAATATAAACAACGTTGAGAATCAATTGTACAATTTTTTGTTATATCAATACAATATTGTTTATCATGATAAAGTTTTATAGGTAATGTACCTGTTTTACATCGACATGTTTTATTATAACATATTGATGTACGTTGATTACATGAATAACAATTTGTTAATATTGAACTTTCATATTCAATACGAAATGAAAATATTTCATTAGATTTTAATTTATAAATTATTGAATTATATTTAAATGAACAATTTGATAATATAAGATTATATTCACCTATATAAAGTAATGGTATATTATTCATTGTTAAGATTGTTTTTAAATTTAAATTTGTTCGTGTTGATTCAGAATTTTTTTGAAGAATATAATTTTTTATTGTTGATGAACATTGTGTAAATGGTAAATATAATGTTGATGAAAAATTTTTTGTTGATATACATTGTACAAAAAATGGTATAACAGCAACTAATCGTGATGAATATGTATAAATATGACCAGGAATTAATGATTTATTTGATGATAATGAATAAACAGCTTGTATATGTAATGTACGAGAATCATTGGATGACCATAATATATTCATATATTCTTTATAAAGATCTATTGAATATGTACAATTTTCCAAATAAATAATATTAGATGCTTGACTAAGAGTTATTCCAATAAGAATAATATATACATATATATTGATCATCTCTTTCTGAAATAGAATGAAGGAAAAAATTTTCTTATATTGCCAAAAGCTGATGATAATAAGTATGTTCATTGAATTGATATTTGTATATGTATTCTATACATACATACATGCAGGCATGCATGCATAAACAACATATTCAAACAATCATACAAGCAATTTGAACCACTTGAATTTTTAACAGCATACTATGTTCTTATGTTAAGCTTTAGTCTGATAAAATCGATTACTAAAGAACAGAACAATTGACAAGAAAATGAAAAGAATGTTGTTATTATTGTTTAATTTCCATGGTTCATCGGTCAACTGATCTTTTCAATCTCATGATAGAGAAAACAACAACAACAAATTCATCAATACAAATTTACATACTTTTACATGAGCTGACCATCGAACATTTCCATACATTATCTATGTATAAAAAGCTCATAAATGACAAGCTAATGTAGGACAGCTTGCAGGCATCGAAGAAAAAGAAAAACGATTGTGTGTATATGTGTATGAATGTCTATGTTTAATCTCTTTCGCACATTGTGATCATGTACATATGTATACATATGGCACCGGGAATAGTCAAAAAAAAAAAAGAAATTTCGATTACTTTTTTTTTTCTTGTCTATATATATGAATGACTTGACACTCATAGTAATACATATATATAAATATATATATATATTAGTATAAAAATTGATTCTAAAATCGATGTAATTCGAGTAGATGATGACAAGTCAAAAAAAAAGTGTGTATAGCAAATCGATCAATTGTGAAATGAACTATATAGAAAAGTAATTAAAAAGATTGGAATGAGATTAAACGACAAAAGAAAGAAAGAAAGAAAAAGTAGAGGTGAGTAATGAATTGTCAGTAGACATGTTGACAATTGAATGATTGAAAATGAGGAGGAGAACTCATGGCATCATCTGGCTTGGGACTATTTCAATAGATATTTATCATTTTTTAAATAGCCTCAAGCAATTGAACACATAGACAAGGAAGAAAAAAAAAGTTTAATATTTTATACAAGTGAATTAATGAGAAGGAAAAAATTTCATTGTCATTTTCAGAAGAAAATAAATGTATGAATAGTACAGTTTGATTCGATTGATTGCACATGTGTTTTTCTTTTTTTTTGTTTGAAGTTAACAACATACGTCGTACATTACTTTGTCTGTTAAGAAAGAAAATTAAGGAGAGTGTGTCTATCATACAAATTCATCAGAGCCTGAAATATGAATTTGATATTAATAAGCGAATTTTTTCAAGAAGAAACTTTGAGAACTATGTAACTGGACATTATATAGTTTTATTCTTGAAATAATACTCTATATGCTAAATATCGTTTGTTATTAGAATTGAAATTTGTATATTATGAACAGTTAAAATTTTACTCTACATATGAGCAAAATCATTCGTTATTAGCACGACTTTGCAAAATAAAAACATGTGTATCTCGATATAATAAACTTTCTTAGAGTTAATTTTTTATATAGCACGTGTATGTTAAATTACTCTAGATACTCTGAAAAAAATTAGTGTTAGAGTCCTTTGTTTAGAGAAATTATCATTACAAAACTAATATTAAAGGACATCGGCTTTCACTGCATATATTTTAGTTAAAGGAAAACTTCGAATTAAGACAAAGTTTTTTAAAAACAAACCGTACATTCTGTAGACAATTCTTGAGACTTCAAAATCTCCATTCAATGTTTGTTCTGAGCGTACTTAGATTTTCTTAAAAAAAAAAACGATTTACCTTTCGTTAGTGACGTGACGATGTATGAATATACAAACAAACAAAAAATATCCTTATAACTGAAAGAGAAGTTCAAAACAAGTTCCAAACGGCACTAATTCTTCCTTGGAATCTCTAGGAAACCAGTTTTTAAAAGAAAGTTTTATTTCGAGTCTGATCATACTGAAATATTATTAAAGATTTTTCTTGTATGATTAGACAGATATTGGCTAAGTTAAATGAAACGTAGATATATTCCATTTTTTCTGAACTGATTCAACTATATAGCCAAGCTTTGTACACTCAGAAAAAATAATTTTTACGAGCTGTTTTCTTAAATAAAAATATGATTTTGTAGATTTGCTATAAAGTGTTCTCTTTACGAACAATTGCTAAAAACGTATCAGTTGTGATACAAGCGCTGATAATTTCAATGATAAATTTCTTCTAAGTTTTTGAAGAAAAATTTCATATAAGACAAAAATACTTGTGATCACATATCTTTTTTTTTGTCTGGTGCTTGTACACGATACGCGTAGCTTTTCATCCATATTCAGTATATTGTTTTCAGAGATCAAACAGAATAGTGTATGGTCAAAGTATTTAATGAATGGGATGTGAGTATCTATCGAAAAACCGCAGATTCATTTAAACATACTGTTTCGTAGATGAATATTGTCATATAGTGTATATATTGTTCCTTTTGCACATTACATTTTGATGCTTGTACAAGTAAACGACATCCTTAACTAATTGATTTGATTGACAGTGGGGACCATCATAGATTGAAGATGAGATTATTGTCAGTTTGCAGCAGCACTTACACTTACTTGAGAAATAATTATGCGAAATGACTGCTACAAATACTTGATAATCAAAACTATTGTCAGCCATTTGATAATATAGAAAATGATTAGTAATTGACTACATTATTTACTGTCTGTTGATTCCGTAAAAAATATTTTCCAATTAGTCGTTTTCTTATACATGGATTTACATATTGTTGATTATTTTAGGGAAGAAAAATGAGTAGGGAAGAGTCGTTGTGAAACATGAGAGTGAACTCATGAGTGAAAAAGTGAGAGCATATGAAAGTCTTTTACTCCAGTCATAGGCTGCAAGCCTACCTTAAGTTGACGATCATAGGCTACGGTAGGCTAAAACAATTTTTTCTCCTTCTACCAGATTGATAGATTTCAGCAGAATATAGAAAATTTTGCAAATTTCAATAGTTTTTGCTTCTTTCGGCGGATAATAATAACAATGTTTTCTTAGTCGAACGGTCTTAGAAATCTGTTATTTTTATGTGAGCATTCCTACTTCACCATTGAAATTTTTCCAGTAAAGTAGGTCAGAAACTCTTCTTTCGAAAGTTGCATCTCAATAAACATAAATGTTCATATACTTCTTCAAAAACCCCGTTCTCTTCACACAAATTTCGAATTTGTTTCTGATCTGCACTACTCTTATACGTTATGAATCGTTAGTCCGAAAAACTAAATCCTAATTGTATCTCAATTAAACGGTATAAAAACTTCATCTTCCCTCCTCTTTAACTTCCAGAAGCAAACCTTATTAAAAAAATATTGAGTCTCCCCTAGAATCAAAATGTTCTGCTACTTATGACTCTAACCTAGTGTTACTTCATCTTTATCCACACATCCAACCTCACTATTCAGTCATTTCTTTTCATCTGATAATCAATGAAAAGTAAAGTCATCAAGATAACATTGTGGAAACCATTAGTAACTTATGTAATTTTCGATTGTTAATATATGTAAGCAACAACTTATGAAGAAAACCGAGTTTTAATTTGTAAAATCTATATTTGTTGATCATATTTGTATTTTTTTAGTAATATGAAAATATTAGCCAGCTACCTTCTATTAATTTTACATTTGAAATATCAATGAGGCTTCTACACACAAATGTATATAATGTTACTTTTTCCAAATATAAAACTAGGATTTAAATGACAGTAAGTGCTTGAGTATACTTAAGAAACTTAGTAACGAAAAAAAAACAATAATTCAATATTAACTTCTCTTGTACATTCAATCCTGCCTACCTACTCTGCCTTTTTTTTTCTCCTTTGTTTACAAGTCCTCTTTTTCTTAGCATCTTGAATTTTCCTGACCTAACAAAAGAGTCAATAAATGATACCATTTGTAAGTTCATGAAAATGAAGCAAAAATATATGGATAATCGTATTTACATATTTCATCTTTTTAGACTAAGTCTTCAATGTCTATGTCACTTTTGACCTTACACTATTATTCGTTCTATAAGACTAAATGGTACCAAGCCTTATTTATTTAAATGATCCATCGAGGCAAAAAAGCCATGTACTTTTCCGTAATTCACAACTTTTACATGAAGAATTAAACTTATATTCAGAGAAACTCTAAATATTCTTATGGTCATAGCTGATGATGTTTTTGTTTTTATTGATAAATTTGATAAAAGCGTGAAGATGATGATCTTGTTTCTATTCATAAAACAATGAAATAAAAATATAATTTCTATTCTCTAAGTAACGTAAAACAAAAACCTTGAAGAAAGAATTTCATGATAGACTCTTATAAAAATACAATTCCATTCAAAATATAGTATTTTAGCAGCAGCTATTTGAATTTAAAGTCGATAGGATGACTCACCAGGTGATAATAATTTATATTTTATTTCAACTATTCTTTCATATTCTTTACATGATTTTGATAATTGAATATAAAGAACATGAAAAACAAAATGTAAGATATGTATGAATAACCAAGTTCTCAATAATCGATTGTTTATCAAGACTCAATGAAGACATTAAATGATCGCACAATAATGAATCAACCATAGCAATTAGCTATCTTTTACGTTTTCATCAACTAATACTTATTTTTCTCAGATACACAATTCATGAAATAAACCTTATTTTATTCAATCGAATTTCGATCCTGCACACACCATCCATTTGTTGTTATTCCATCGTTTTTTCGAATTGCAGAAAACTTTCCTAAATGACGAAGAATATTTTTCATTCGGACTAAATTAGTTGACAAGTTAAGAGGAAAAGCGAACCAACAGAAGACCTAGAGCTAAAGGTTAAGCACTTAAAAACGATTAAAGTACGCTTAGGTAAAGAGACATTCATCATCCATGCTCTAATAGTAACTACAACTCATTGCTATTTTATTATATCAACTCTTAAGCTCAGTTGGTGATAGAACATTGCTTGACAAAAGAATGTATATCAAATGTTGAGACTTAAGTGAATCGACGTCTTCACTACTAGACTCGTTCTTTTTGAAAAGTACTCTTTCGCTTTATTACCTCATTTTGATATTTATGTGTTCAATTTATAAGTTAAACAGGAACCTATGCTTGGGTGAATTTCACTGTGATGAGGCATCAATATTTCAGTCGCTTAAAATTTACAGCTTGACTTAATTATATATTGTTTCATAGTATTTTCATCTTTCTTTTGTTATGTGCACATTCATCTTCAAAAATGAAGCATTGTAGCGCCCACAAATGTAAGAGAAAAATTTTCTTCTGTTTTTAGTAAGGATAATGCACATTTCTCATAGTGTTCTTAAAAATGATCTTACATTTTGTATTATATTCGATTCTCATGAAATATGGTAATCTGATTATTATATTGAAATCATTTTTTGATATGCACAATCTAAGATATACAGTTGATTTCGTCTTTCGATAACATCATGAAACGTTGCATAGATCTTAGAAAATATTTGAATAGTGATGAAGAGAATTATTTGAAAGTCATAGACGAAGCGGCATTGTCATCCATTAGTTATCAACTAAATATTTTGAAATATTTTACATCAGATATGTTACTAGACATCGGCATGATCAATAATTTTTGGTCATGGCAGTCATGCCGATGTCTATATGTTACAGAGCCGTTAGACTGTAAAGAAGATTAATGTTATATAAATCATTTCCTACTGATTGACCATGCAACAACTTCAACCTTTCTTCAACTTGTTTATTATTTAAGTTTCTCAGCTATTTATCCATTTCTAACACACACATAAGATAAACAGAGAAAAAAACACAAGAGTAAGAGAAAAACACACAAAAGTAGACAATAAAGAGAGAGGTATAGCAGATATTGTTCTCCTCGCTATATTAGACTATATAATAATAAACAACATCACTTCAGGCATCTTCTTTCCAAATGCATTTCAATTTGAGAATAGGAGAAAATGTTGAGAATGTATTAAAATTGTCAAGGTCGAAAAGGACAAAAACTAAGAGAGAGAAAGCAAGAGAATAGGAAAGAAAAAAACAGATCGAAATATCTGTACGAGCGTGAATAACACATAATAGAGGACGAAGACACATACACATATACATACAACAAACATAAAGAAAAAATAAAAATAAACAATGGATGTTATTAGAATACTCTCTTACAAGACATTATGATCAATAATATACAATAGTAGAAGTTATTCTGTGATCAATCAAATAAGGAAACAATTCATTGTGAAACAAAAAAATTATCTTGCTCATAAACTCCAACAAATGTCTTATAATACATTTTTCCTTTGTTCAAAAAAACGTCTTAGATGTTGAAAAAAATGATCATTCAGTATGGTTAATGGATCACAAGTATTGAATTAGTATTTAAAGCTGATCAGTTTCAGGTGTACTATCTGAAATAGATTAGCATAATTTCTGTAGAAATCATGATAAATCTCTGATGAATATGCTAACGATTTCATCAATACTTTACTTGCATCAAGGTTTTGATTACCTTTGAAATAGTTTCTTTCGTTAGAAAACAAGGATTCATTTTAATGAATATAAAAAAATGCCCAAAATAAAACTAAAACACTAAAATTCTTCTTTTTTTTTCTATAAAGGCTGAAGTTTAGTAAAAGTGAATAGATAAAATATTTATTTATATGGAATTTATAGAAATACTATGTTATATAGAAACATTGAATCTAATGCATGATCGTCCTGTCATATTCAACATCACATTTCATCAACATGTAAGAAATGTGCTAAAGTAGCTCCGAAGAAAAGACAAATAACGTGACTGCAGATTGGTGTCTTATGTAGACATACGAATTGGCATTCTAGAAAAAAATAAAAATTTGTTGATGATTTCAGTAGGAACAACATCTCGGGTAACCTGTGAATGGTTCAATGACATAAAAGTCTTTGTCCCTCTTGTTAGCATTAAATCTGTGAAAAAAATATATTTAATTTCAAGTTGTGTTGTTTTTTGTATGCATTCGTAAAAAATAGACTTTCACTTTTATCATCTATTGTAGACTTGAAAAAATTATTCCTCTTTCAAATCAAATGCTTTTATTCGAACAAGAGATTGTCTCACTTTTTGATTCTGACACCAATAGTGTAAAGTGTTCTAATAGAAATCCTGATTATTCGGACGAAGAGCGACTAAATAATAGTAATCGAGAACAACTTTTGGCAGTGATGAGCATTATGTATTAGATTAAAGTGTCTTGTTTCACTATATAAACTAACAACGATGGTATTATTTTTCAGAATTTTGAAAAATGTATCGAATCATAGTCAGTTCAGAGTCGATCGCTTCTTTCCACAATTCACCGTTGAGAATATTTTGTCATGGTGTTCTCATATTATACATACAAGCTAATAAACTCGCATGAAAAAAAAGAAAAGAACAATATTTTTGCATATGCCTCTATTCGATGAGATAGAGAAAAGAAAGGGCTTTTATTTGACGTATTATTCGTGGTATAGTAGCTGGATGAACAAAAGCAAATAATATATATATATATAAAATACAATGTATAACTCTATACAAGATGAATACTATCAGATTTTGAGTCATCCGTGTACAACTTCAATAAAATCCAATAGTCTTACTCGAATGAGCAATGATTTGTAATACACAAACTAACTATTGGAAAAACGATAAAGTCATGTTTAGATAGAAGAAGGTCATTTCACGGCATAATAAGTTCCTTCATTTTTTTACATAGTCAAGGGTCGATAGTATTCGTCTTATGCATGAATAAATTCGTACAAAGTAGAAAAACAAAGTGTGTGTCAAGAATGTATATATTCATTCACCAATCGTTTAGATAAAATCGATGAAACTAACGTATTATTTATGCATTACCATGTGCTCTTTTTACATTTAGCAAAAGCATAGTTTTTTTTTTCTCAAAGACAAAACGAGTCTAAACATAATTAAAGGGAGAAATTCGTATACCAAGAAAATAAACAATAAGAATCATATCTTTTTAAGGTAAAATATGCCCCTATCTAACTGGGGTAGTAAATCGATGTGAATAACGATCAATATGCCTATATAACTGACGAGAAAAATGCGTATTATAATTGTATCGCAAATTTTGTCGGTTACAAAGTAGCTGTTCTCTTTTGTTTTTTTGTTTTGCGATAAAAAACTTATTTATGCCTCAGAAAAGTTTCATACATGACAAAAAAAATGATCAAAAGTATTGCATCAGTGGTTATAAAGTATCAAATCGCGAGCCTGAAGATGAAACTTTACGAAAAGACTTTAGTGATCACATCAAGGTAAGTGCTAAAGAACTTCCACCTAAAGTCGATCTTCGTCCACTAATGACAACTGTGGAAAATCAAAATCCAATGAATACTTGGTATGTAAAAAAATTTTACTTCAAATCATAATACTAATGACATTTTCAATAATTTAGTCTAGGGAATGCTTTTGCAGGTAAATATGAATTTTCATCTGGAAGTTTTAATAATGTTTGCTTGTAGGAGCACTTGAATATTTATTAAAAAAACAAAATAACGGCAGTGATATTGATGTTAGCCGATTATTTATCTATTACAATGCTCGACTTATTCAGGAAGAGATTACGAAAGAGAAAGTAACAAACATAGATGACGGTGCTTCGATCTCATATGGTCTTGAAGCATTAAAAAAATTTGGTGTCTGTAACGAATCAATTTGGAAATATGATAAAGGAATCGTAAATAAACGTCCTAGTAACGAAGCATACGAAGCAGCCAAAAGCCGAACGATATATGATACATTAAAAATTAAAACAGATTTAGCGGAGATGAAACAATGCCTTGCACAAGGTTTGCCATTTGTTTTTGGCTTGATTGTATTCAAATCATTCGATAAGCATCATGGAAGTGGTATTGTACCTATGCCAACACCAGAAGAAGTGAAAAAAGAGAAACCTGGAGGGTATGATTTTTATTCAAGAAGAAAAAACTACAATTGAAATTTATCACTTTAGACATGGAATGTTAGCTGTGGGTTACAGTGACTACTCAAAAGCATTTATCGTGCGAAATTCCTGGGGAACAACTTGGGTAAATAAGAGTGTTTTTGAAAGAAATAGTTACGCTTCATTTCATCTTAGGGTGACAAAGGATACGCTTTTATTCCTTATGATTATATGACTGATCCAAAATATTGTTTTGAGTCATGCGCTTTTCGTCTAACGGACGACGATGATTTGGGTCATGAAGACTGGGATCAAGATGATTCAATTGATCTTCATCCAGATACCGTGGATGAAGAAGAAGACAATGACGATGATTATGAAATAATAGAGGAAGAAATTGAAGTAATAGAAGAAACAGAAGAAGAACAAGAACAAGAACAAGAAGGAGAAGGAAAACAAGAAGATCAAAACAATCAAGGCAACGAATAGCAGGCTCTTAGTGACAAAACAGTATTCAAGATAAAGAACTGATCGATTTCTTTGTTTTTTTTATTCTAACAATAAACTATTTAAGCCAACAAATTTAGCTGAGAAATTTCTTTCTTTTATGGTTTTAATTTTATTTGTTAATACAAGATTATTCAATAGATAGTTAGCTTGAAGTTTTTTAAACATATCCGCTAAATATATTCATTCAAATACATATTAAGAAGAATTATTAGCAGAGAACTGAATTTTTGTTCTTTTGAACAACTAATTAGTAGAGAAATCCATCAGAAGTCAAGCAGCATCAATGCTCAAAAATTTGATTAATCTGTTCAAAAGTATTTTTGTTTTTTTTTGGACGATAAGTTTCACCATCAAACTCTTCTAAATATATCAGTGGTTCATTCATGTGATGATAAAAGTATCTAAGTGTTCATGTGTAATGTGCACATTATTTTTATATCTGTAAAATGATAATATCATACAGCAAGTGAATGAGAACAAGAATACAAATTGACCATGTAGCGGTGGTTGATATAAACAAAAATATTGAAATTGTATTTGACAGTTTGTCTCAACAAAATGAAGTCAAATGAAATACTAAATAAACAGTAACTATTGCTTGCTACTAGGTCCTGACATGAACCGTTCAAGTCCGAATCACACTTTTGTTTTCAACAAAGATCTCCTCAATAAGAAAATAGAGAATGGTATTTGATTTTAAGATGATTGAAATGGTACCAGTTCTATCCGATAAAAGTTTGATTTTTTAACTCAAACACACATTTCTTTTGACATTAATCTTTCTTAATCGATTTATTCATAAAATAGGTTCAATGGATAAAATATCTTAACCGAAAAACAGGCTGGACTATATTCAATTGAAATCAATCTCTACAAGTGTGAAATCAGAATTGAATAGCGCCATTTCAACCGACATGATAGAATTCACATATATTTTGCAAGAAACTTGTCAGAGAAATTGTAAATGAAGTTTTTCTTCGTTAGTCTCTAGATCATGATGACGTGAAAGACGCATGAGTAATAACAGTGTTTAGAATGATCTGAAACTTTCTAGAATTTTTTCATGAATTCTATGGATAAGTGTTAATCAAAAGGGTGCCGATATCGTTGATCTCCTAGAGCCACAGTAGAACGGACTTGGAAAAGAAGAAATTATTTGAATTTGTAAAGTAAAGCAAAAAAGAAGAGTATGCGTTGAAGTTGATTGTGCGCAACAAGGATGTTTATCCGAAGCTGAGACAATCATGAAACTAATGTGCAATTTATGCTAATATGGTGTTTAAATCAATGAAACCGAGATTAAAATGATATTTACTGCTCTTTGTGACCTGTATCATGTTGAATGTTGAATGTTATTAGTAGAAAACAAATTATGCATTAAATATGTGCCTGACAACACAAATAAGTTTTTAAGCTGAAATGATATTGAAAGAAACTATAATAAATTGGAAGAATAGAAATCCTAAATGTATATATTTCTTTACAGAAAGAACTTCCAAATGTGCATATCATTCAGAAAAATTGTTTTAATTTTAATTTCTTTGTTTATCTGACCTTAGTTTAATAAAATGTTTTTGAATGCCTCTCATAATACAGCACAACTTTATTACAGTAAGACATTGTGCTTTTCACACTTTGACTACCTATGAAAAGATACTAAAAGTTTTTTTTACTAGTTTCCATCAAGATGTAATTTTTTCAGTCGGCAAAAATTTCTCAATAAAATAAATTTTCTTTGTTGTTAAATACAATTAGAACATGGTTTGAGACTTATTGGCAATGAAGAATTTCTGACGATTACTCTAGAAAGAGTGCGAAATCTTGAGCTCGAAAATTCTCGATGTTATGATACGTACATATATGATTTGTCATAAGGGAAAGTTGTTGAAGGCATTTTCCACATATATTCGTTTTCTTTCTTTCTGCACATACATGTTGTTAACTATAGCTATATCTTTCATTTTATTCTATTAGATATTTTCCCTATTATATGTTCTTGTTTTCTTCCCATATTGTCTTCTTTGCTTTGATTGTATAACTCCCCAGGACGAGGTTTATGGAGTCCATATACGGGGAGAAACGGTCGGTGCGCGCTCGTTTCTGATTGTGTATGGCCGTATTTTTGTCCGTATATCGCCGTATGAATCGTATATAACACGAAGATTTATGATCGTAATACTGGTACATGTATTTACTTGTATTTCACCGTACACGATCATTTAGGATTGTGTTTGTTCGTCCTGGGTATGTTTATATGACTGATAAAGATTTGTCTTATTACAGATGGGTTGTTCAAACAATAGATATTGATATGATCGAAGGTGACTATCGCATTCAGGATGATTCGACTGCTCTTCACCCAGATGATGAAGAAGACGACTACGTAATCGATTTCGTAATCATAGTCGAAGGAGAAGAAGACGATGAAGAAGAAAAATCAAATCCAGAACAAGAAGAAGATGAAAACGATCCAGACCATCAATAAGAAAATTTCGAGTGACAAAATAATAATTACAAAAAAATTGGCGTATTTTGATTTTTTTAATTTTAACAACAAATTATTCGAACTAACAAATTCACTTTATAAAATTTTTTACTTTTATGGTTTCACTTTTGTATGCTGGTAAGCTCTTATTTAATTAATGATTCATTAGCTTGAAGTTTTCTAAAAATCTGCATTAAACATATTCATTGAAATAAATGTTAAGAACTTATACATAGGATACATAATTCAGTTTCGAGTATAGATGAAACGTCGAATATATGATATTATTTCGATAAGAAATGAAAAAAAAGTCATATGAGAATCTGATTACAGCAACAGCAAAAGATAAATTTATCCTAATTATAATTTATGTAATTCGAATTGAGACACCTAATAGAGATGGGATCCGTTGGCATTTTTTTGCTCAATAGAACTGAACCAAAAAAAAATCTGTAATTGAACAGAACGTAACCGATCGAATTTTTAAAAATTTCAAACTGAACCGAATGAAGCCGAGTTTAGCGAAAGCGAAGTTATACATGCTAATTAAAGTGGAAGTACTTTATAAAGGAAGATTCTTTTATATACAAATCCTTACTATTTATTTTCATTAAATCACAAATAATCTTTTTATAATCCTTTGAAAAAATCAAGACAATATTACATTAGTATGATTCGAATTTATCTGGATCATCAAGTCTTTATTGAAACAACTTGTATGAACGATTAAAAATCATCTCGTTGACAAGATCTGGAGATGATTTTGAACGTTGTTGTTTAATGATATTATCGGGAAGACTGAATTCTCTTTCAGCGGTTGCATTTGAACGCAGCACAGAAAGAAACACGAACAGCTATTCTCAAAAGAATAAGATAAGAAAGATGCATCTTTTTCCAGAAAGATTAAAGATTATATTCTTCTTCAAGAGATTCAGCTGAATTTGTTAATTTATCTGACCCTTGTTTAGTATACAATTCGATTTCTAATGCATGTGACTAGAATCTTAAAGCAGCATGTTGATCGCTATCATCTTCATCGTCATTTGCATTTGAATGGAAATCACTGATAGATTTAATTGAACGATCTGTTGACAGTTGAGCATCTTTCGAGGCATTGTTAATTTAAAATCATTATTATCATCAAATAATAACATTTCTTGTTTGATATATCCTATGCATTCTTCTCGTTCTTCAACCGATAAATGTTTCATCTTTCGTATTTTCGAATTTAAAAATTTTATCACCAGGTGAATAGGATGATATTGAATCTTTTCTTTTATAATTTGTTTCGCCCTTTGACGGAAATATGCAAAGCCTGAATCCTAAAAAGTCCAACACAAAAATATGAGAGAACAGTTAGAATCACTAGCCTTTGTCTTGTTTTGAATCTTTAGATTTTGTTTCTAAGGAAGAGCTGATAATACATATGCTAGGAGTAACTATACCTGTTGATGGTCTTATTAAAGATTGGATTCGTTGTATAACATATTCTCATGGTTTAAGAAAATCAATTTATTTACTCAATAGGTATACACTAATTTTATTTATTCTTATTTTATTCAATTTCTATTTCTCAAAAATTTCATCAAGTGAAATTAACGATTTACTCACACTCTCTAAACGATTCAATAAAGAGAGCCATCGAACAATTGTGCATAGTAAAAGAACAAATGAATTCCTGATGTCCTCATGATCTTGATTCAAATTCATCTACGGAAAAACCATTTATATTGTGTACAAAAATGCTTCGTTCTTCTGCATGATCTAGTTTAGCAGCAAAGAAAAACTGCTAAACCCCCCCCCCCAGAATAAAAGGCCATGGCCTTCTATTATGGAAATTCACATCGCTCTTTTCAGGGTGGCCTTCTATTAGGGGTGGCCTTCTAATAAGACTTTTATGGTAAAAAATTACAATTTTTTTTTGTTAGTTGCTGATTCTGTTTTTCTAGCTCGACAACTGAAAATTGAAATTTGTTTAGACTTTTTGAGCTAATGCTACCCATGGAGCCGATTTTATGAAATAATGGGCATTGCAATGCATTATTTTACAATAGAAATGCAATGGATGCAATTACATGATAATGCAACCTATTTCATGCATTATAATGCATTATTTTTAATTAATCCATTGCAATACATTGATTTATCAACGCATCATAATGCATTTCTTTTTATAATAATGCATTACAATGCATTGAAAATTTAGGCATTATCCTTCATTTTCAGCATTATTAGAAATAATGCATTGAAATGCATTGAAGAGTCAAAAAATAATTAATTATAATGCATTAATTCATGTTTTTCTTCAAATAATGGAAAATAATGGATCATTTTCCATTATTCATCCATTATCGGCTACATGGGTATTATATTTAATCAACAAATATTAGTATACCTATCCGATGTCTGGCACCACAAATACTTCAAAGAACAAAAAAGTTTTTATATGTATTCAAAAGATATGTAATCGTACCAAAGCAAAAGAATTGAAGCGATCAAATAGGCATATTAAACTTTGTTTTGTTTTGACAGCTTTTGGAAATTGAACATACCTCTTTAAATTTATAGCAAAACCAAACAGGAGTGCGGTGGAGATCATACATGATCTCTCAAAATGCTAAGATATTTATAAAACTAGCACAGAATATTTATGTAATATCCAAACAATTCATTAGAAAGCCATGGCCTTCTAATGTGACTTTTGCAAATATGACTCAGGGGTGGCCTTCTAATGGGGGTGGCCTTCTATTCTGGGGTGGCCTTCTATTCTGGGGGGGAGTTTATTAAAATTACCTTCTTTACATATTGGACTAGTTCTTTGCATTGAATGATTTTAAATAGAATACATTCCGCGTCAACTGGTAATTATGAAATGAAGAAAACAACATTTGTTTTTCGATTTGATGCTGTAGAATTATATTTGATACATGCTTTTTGTTGATCTTCATCAACATTAATATCATCCTCATTTTGGTTTACTTTCACTACTACTATCTTGATTATCTTCACCTTCTGGTTTATCGTGAAAAGAATCAGGAAATAATTCATGTTTCTTGAATTTCAATGTATTTGTTTGGAAAAAAAATAGTTTATAAACAATTGTTTAGACAATGTGCTATACAATGAACGGCGTTAAATTTTTCTAAAGTTTTAAAAAGATTACTACCACCATCACACACCAATATAATATCAGACATAAATGGAACTAAATCATACGAAGACAATCCTTCTGCTAAACCCTACAACGGCAGTTGACAGCTAGTATGAATACGAAACAATTGCATTAACATTTATTTTTAAAACACTTGGACCTGTTTTATCAGATTGCCGATAAGGCAAAAAAAGATATTCGAAAGAATTTAATTTCCAAAGGCTATCAACCCAATGTGTACTGCAACCTAGATAAGATGTTTATTTATATTCATCTGACCAGAAGTCAGGCGAAAGAGTAAGTCGACGTTCGCGAACAGCTTCACTTAAAATACATTTTATTTTATTTCGACAAATATTTGCTGTTTCTTTGATTTCGCTCGATATTGTTTTTCTACAAGATACAATCGAAGTAGATACTGGGCCACAAACGAAACTAGGAAGTGAGACGAAGAATACATAACATTGTACAATGTTAGCTAATGATATACCTATTTTAACATATTATTCAATAAGATTTTATTAAGCCTATATCTTCAACAATATTTACAAGATTTCAAAAATATACTCTCTCAAAAATTTGATCATTATGTAAAATATTGTATGTGAATAGTTTTCATGATATTATGTTCACATACCAAAACTGTGAATATCTTAAAAATCGGTTATCTCGGTCCAGGCTTGCTATGGCAATGTAAGATTTAAAATTTGTTAATTTAGTGGTGAGAGTGATAATTTGACGCCAACATAATCAATCAAATGGATAAACAATACAAAAGGTTCCATTATGAATGTAGATGTTGCCTGTAGACATAAAAAGTGTTTCTACTCTTAAACAATAATAATTTTTACTTTTAATCTTAACTTGAATTCTTTCGAGCGCTTAGCACAAGGACAAGAGAAAATTCATCTTTCTAATTCATTCTTTTGATAAACAGAGACTGAAATGTTAATTGATATTTGGCCTTAGAGAACACTGAAGTATTTCCAATGTTAATAAAACAGAACAACGAAAGATTTGAAGTAATCATACTAAATGAAGTCGAACTAAAAAAGATGAAAATGAACAATTAAACAATTGATTAATTAAAGAATAGCAACGAAGAGAAGATGAGGAAAGAGAACAAATAAAGAACTAATGAAATTAACGATATTTAAATGATTGTTCTACTTATTAGCAATTCAAATTACAAATTCTATAAAAATTGGAATATTTCAACTTTCATTTTCCTTTTCTTTTTGAAAGCAAAACGACAGTAAAAGTGTTACTCATAATACCTGACTGTAAACAATAAACATCGAAAACTTCAGATTTAATATAAAACTAAAGTTTACATTTACATTTTTTCTTTCATTACTAAGAATATCAAAAGAAAAATTTTTTCTAACCATAATCTGTATGAAAATTAATGTACAAATAGAATAGTAAAATAAAAAATGAACAATATAAAACATTTTGATTGAAACTACCGATAAGTGAATAGGTATTTTATACAAATAATTTTGCATTATTTGATCGTCGAAATAAAGATCGATTAGGTGTATTTTGATATGATTTTGATAGACTTATATCTTCATAGATTTTACGATGATTCAATTGTTTTCTATCATTTTTAATTGATGAAGATATAATCTTCGATATTCCATGACCATTAGCAATTAATGTAGAACATGTATTTAATTTTATCATTTTTGTATCAATATTTTTTATATGAGATTCGATATTATCAAGTGAGATAAGAGGCAGATCAAGTTTCAATTGAGTTTGTGTCTGATAAGCTTTGATAGATTGTAAATGATTTTGTGGAGCATTAAGTAAATTTAATATTCGATTAAATCGTTTTTCATTCATTATAAATAAATTTGGTTTTGAACGTATTGGTGAAAATCCAAAATTTTCAAATGTTTTTTTATCTATGCATAACCTATAATTAAATCGAATACCTTGATGATTATATTCTGATATTAATAAACGTTGATATTTCATTAGATGTATAGCAAGATTTTTTTGATAAGAACAATATTGTTTGAAATATAATAATTCATCCGCAGTCAAAAGCGATGTAAAGTAAGAATGAAGATCTTTTGTACAGTAAGGTATGTTTAATGAGTCGAATTTTTTAGTCATATTAAATAAGAAAGAAAAAAAGATGTAAGAATATTTGATATATACTGTCATAGTGATAGAGAATATTGTATTTTTGTTGTTATTATTCTTGTCTATAAGCATTTTCTGATACATCGTTCTTCACCCATTATTAACCATCGACGACACAAACATCGACGTGTACAACATTGTTCATCATGTGAACATATCATTGGTGATAAACGGCATGATTCACCTGAAAAAAGTCCATCGTAACCACGTTGTACTGCCTGAGTATAATGAAATACATCAGAATCATAAGATGTTTCACGATTTATAAAACGACTTAAACCACGTTTAAATGCCGTTCGTACAAGATCAGCAATACCACTAGCTAGAGAAAGAAAATAATTTTAGTATAAAAATCTATACTAATGTAATGATCAATTCTTAGAAATTTTAAAAATGCATGTATTTAGTCTTAAATAATTGTTAGTGACTTACAATAAGATCGTTTTTTAACGGCATCGGTTTTCTGAAATAATATACTGATGCAAACTATACAAAATGTTGCATGAATAGTAAACGATCGGCGCATCATGTTGCAAATCAAAATTTAACCTTTTCAATATGACGAAGTTGTAGTTTGTCAGTCGTTGTAAAGCACTAATCAAATGTCTATCTTCTTTTGTTGCCAGTTACGCGTAGAACAAACCTTTTTTTTCTACAATGAAGAATTACTATTATAGTTGGTTATCTATAACAGGGAGAAAAAAAATCTCAAGTGCTAAAAAAAGAAAAAAGATAAGAACCAGCGAATCTTCTTGTCGTTTTTAGTACTCGTATATTAATTTATTGACCTTTTCTATTACCAAGTGAATGTAATATGAACATTTTATTAACATTAAATGAAACAGAAAAAAAATTAAAATGTGTGGCAATAAAAGAACTGATTGCTATTCTAACACTTACTGTCGTTTACGTTATGTGTAAGCGAACGATGTAAAATAATGGCATACGTGGTATAGAAAAATTACTATTGATTCGATAGTCGATCAAAATTCAATAGAAAAAAAAACGAAAGAGAGAGCGACAGTGAGCTGTAATTGGCCAACAATATATTTTTTTCTCTTTCTTCTAGTCCCAATGAGTATTAAAAAATCGTTCTTATTGTCGTTTTGTGGGTTATTACGAATGGAACTGTACATATAAGCATTGCAATCGATAAAATGACAAATTTTTTATTCGTTATAAGTCTAGAAAGAGACAGATGAATATGTAAGGTAAAGAACAGAATAGCATTTCGATTTGTTTGTTAACAAGAAAATGTTATAACATGACATTTATTTGATTTCTACGAATTTTGCAAAAGGAAATATGATTCAAATTTTTGTTTAACTAATAAAGGACACAGACAAAAAATAACTTAAGGAGTTTCCTCTTTTTCCGGTTGCGAACTTTTCATTTCTAATGGTGTATTGAAATGTCTTCTATCAAGTGCTGTGAAAATCAGAACTGTACCAAATCTTATTAGCCCTGATAAAACTTAATGTCGAGAATTCCAATGTTGAAAAATAAACCCTATGTTTTTTTTTTATGTGGAAGCTTTGTTTATTAATTTTACGAGTATTTCTTAAAAACAGCTCTGTATATTGATATTTGATGCGAAATAAATGATAATCTGTAGTGATTCAAAAAAGCAAAACAAAATTTTACTTTGTTTTTGGTTTTTTCGTATTTTTTCTTCAAAATGGGGTCCGTTCACTTTACCAACAATCACTTTGCCGACAACTTGTTTTGCTGACACGATTTTGCCGACAAAACTTGTTCATATCTTAGCCTACTAAATATAGTAGTTTCCAGGATACACCGAGAAGAGTTGTATGAATTAGTACCCCTTGGACGAAAGACAAACATAAAGGGTGTGTGTGCGGGTATGGATGTGGAGTGTAGGTGCTGGTATAGGTGTGTGTGGCACAGCGGGGAGCATTCCCATAAGCAGGCAGACATGCGGTTTTTCTGCTTATGAATGGCTTTAATTTGACTAGAAATGACATTATACCACTAAGAAAATCGTTTTTAAGAAAATAAAAGGTTTTTTTTTTTAAATTTTTTCGAAAAAATATGGCTGGGGGTACCTCAGTCTTTTTTTCTTCGAAAACTCTTTTTTGAAAAATATGTTGAGCTACATATCATTCAATGTAGTTTGATGCGCTGATTCCGAATATCACCTTGGTTTTTCTTCAAAATGTAATACGGGCACATAAACCTGTAATTCCGACCAGAAACCTTGGGTTTTTGGATATTCTGTAAAATCGCCTAGGAAAGATTTCATGAGTTTTCGCTACTATCATCAGTAGAACACGTTCGTAGGAGCATTTGGTAAAATTTTGAGCTCGATCAGACTTTATTCCTTTGTAACGTTTACAATATACGAAGCGCTATGTTTTCAGATAGATTTTGGGGCTCGAGATCCTTTCTCTTTTACTATATTTTTAACTGGATTACGATAATATTTTTTTACCATAAAGTTCATAGGTGAGCAAGTTTTTGCGATATTGTTTGCTTCTGAAATATTGTGTTATATTGCTGAGAGGCTTGACTTTCTTCGTTTATGCCGATTTCTGGGTCCAAGCCTTGTCAGGCTCTTTTCTAGAGCTCTATAGAACTTTGAGAACCGCTATTTTACGAAATGATAGATCACATATGTATGTATCTACGCAAACGGTTAGTTTGTGGAAAAGAATATTTTCGCATATGTTCGCCTGGCTCCCCACTGTGTGTGGGGTGTGAGCGTGGGTGGACGTCGGTTCGGGTGCAAGTATGGTTGTCGGTGTGGGTATGTGGGTGTGAGTGTCTGTGCGAGAGTGGGTTTTGCCTTCACCCACACCGACACCCCAACGTTTTCTGACGCAATTTTTTCAACAAATTTCAATTTTTTTTGGCTTCAAATTTTTGTCGGCAAAGTGATCCACACCCTCAAAAGGATATTCCTAAGAAATTCGACAATCTTTAAAGGAAACGAAACCATTGAAAAAAACATATTTTTCGACGAATGCCTTCAGTATTTTGCTTCTTCTAAGCTCTGGAGTCAATATATTTGAAAGAACAAAAAAAAACACCATCCCAACATGATTCTAGTTGGTATTCAAAATTTTGGACTTTGCGAGCTCAATATCTCTGTGAAGAAAACACTTGGAAATTTCGAGTTTATCACAACTTTCGCTCTACGTATCGACATCTATGTATCTTGAAGGTTTCATAGTTTTTCGTCGAGCTGTTCCTGAGCAACGTCAGAAATGGGAGATGATTTCCTTATTACTTCAACATAATCATTTAATTATGTAAATCATTTATTAAATTAAATTCAAATGTACATTGTTCAAATAAATAGAGTATTTAGGAACTAAAAGCTTCATCTAATGAATCAATTTTGGAATCAAAATTATATTTATTGAATCTGACAAATAAAACAATTTGTAAAGTACAAATGTATAACAATGTTTTTGCTTTGATTATTGGATATATTTTTACACCATTGCCTTTATCAATAATATGTTTTCACAGATGGTTTGATCGACGAATAAAAGCAACAAGAGTTATTAATATCTATATCAGCATTTGCTTAAAATAGATTTTATATTTATTTAGTCACTTGCTTTGAGTGCACAAATTTAGACTACCAATCTCATGTTTCTATATATTTATTTAGAATCTAAGAAAACATTTTTATATTCAAAATCTATCAATAAGAATATTCGTAAGCCAATATGATATTATACAGTTTTAATGAAAATTGATATCAGTTATTAAAACCCATATCATTCGATTATATAATTTATTAGAAACTATGTCGACGTCAAAAACGATAACTTATCTATGTTAAATCATCGTAAATTAATCCTGATAACTTCTAATCTTTGATAAAGTACCAAAAGCAATACAAAGTAATATTAGTTAATGACACACGATCGCAAAAATGTGGGTTACAATGAGTACTATTATTGCTTTTTGCCTAAGGGCAATCAACAATATATCTTAATACCTATGAAAAATTATTGTTTTTTAATAATTGGATTCATTGGATAGGATCATTGCGTAGACAAGAAGAGCAAATAAATATTGGATACTTGTAAATATATGTATATATATATATATGCATACGCAAGCAAAGTCATGCAATTCTAATGATAGACATGTCATTACAAATAGAATCAATAAGGTCATATTCTTATAATCGAAATAAGTCTAGTTGATGTATCAGTATTTACACAGCCTTTATACAATTTCTTATCATTCTTATTGAACAAGAAAGTTGTCCTTTATGATTAAATAAAAAGAATAGATAACCAACAGATGGAGATCGATTGATAAGAGACAATTTTAAAAGTCAATTACTACAAACAAGCATTCGTGCATATCTTTATTATAAGTTTGTTGTTATTGTTGTTGTTTGCTATTGCCATAACCGTTTGTTGACATTCCCTCCTTTGATGCTGTTTTTTTCCTGTTATTATCTTTACATCATGATAATGATAAAAACAAATAAATATTGTTTTGAAAAAAAAAAAAGAAAAAATGAAAAGAATAATATTTTGATTCTATTTTTGATATGTCTATATCTATACCTTTTAGAATGCGAAATATTGGATGAAAACCAAGGTTTTTTTAACAATGATGATAAATTTGTTTTGTCTTCTTTTTTTCTGTCTTTGTCATCATAACACTTTCTTGACTTTAACCTCAAGCAATAAATCTTATATGTTCGCTTCGCTAGTTAACTATGAAGCACAGGAAAAGCGAGACTATTGATGTGTATGCTTTCCATTTTCTTTGTAAAAACCGTGAAAGAAAAAAAAGAGAATCTTGTTGGCACGTACGTGTCATAGAGATCTTTCTGATGACAATTGATGAAAGAAAATAAACTTTTGTAAGTAATATGTGACGACATAAAAAATAAAAATAAGTGATAATTAAAAAAGAAAATAAAATGAACAAACTTTTCAGAAACTAATTTATATAAATAACTGAAAGACAAGTAAGCGCATAAGGATTGTGCTTATTGTTGAGCATTAACGCTTGACTTGAAATGTGTTTTATTTTTTTATTTCTCTTGTGCTCATGCTTCTAAAATAAATGTAAATATGTGCTATCATAAACTATTCATTCGTGCATTTTGTTCATCCATTTAATTGCTTTTATATGCATATGACACTTATCATACCACGCACAGTATGTTACTGTTGATATTTTAATACAAGAGTCAAATTCCCTAAAGATAGACAAATATCAAATAATCCCGTTGGTCACTAGACATCAATAAATTGAGCAAATAAAATTATTAACTATATGAGAAAACAACATTTTTTTATAGTTTTATATATATATATACTCTGTTTTTACAATAGTTGCTTTTAGACAGAAAAAGAAGAAGAAAGTCGTAATATATTATTTCATTATCTCATCATTATCATTTGATTCGTACTACTAATAATTGATATAGTACATATGTGTAAATAATAAATACCTTCAAGAAACTAATCTTATAAGAAGAGGTTTTTTCAATCGACATCTTTCCTGTTCCTATTGTCATTATATTTTTGATAAGAAGACTAATACGACATAGTAATAATAATAATAATAATACAATATTCTCTTTCTTATTACTGTTTTGCTTAGGTTCTTTAACATTTTTTCTTTCTTTCTTTCTTGTTGTTTTTCTTCTTCTTTTTTTCATATATCTCTTGTTTTCTTTTTTCTTAACTTGATCGACTATTCTTGGATAATAACTACTACATTGATATATACAAAACATTTTTTCTTGCAATGAAATTCAAATATATATATACATGTATGTTTATTTAATTATTGATCATTATTCCAGAAAATAATTTTTTAGACAAATAAATATATTTTCATTATGGGTCAACTTATGATACGTCGACAAGTTGAAGAAGGTTTAAATTTATATGAAGAAAAAAATTATGATGCTGCTATTAAAAAATGGACAATATCATTACAAAAAATGAAAAATAATCGACTTCGATTTTCTACACTTGGACATTTAGCAACAGCATCACGTGATCGTGGACGTAATAAAGATTATCTTGTTTATGCTGTACAACAAATTGATATTGCTCATGAAATTGATGATAATAATCTTCGTGCACAAGCTTATTTAACATTAGCACGTGCTAATGAAATGCTTGCTGATTATTTTAAAGCAGTTAGTTATGCTCGTTCAACACTTCAATATTCATCATCAGGTTGTTCTATACAAGGTTATGCTTTACTTGTTATGGCAGATTCTTATATAGGTTTATGTAATTTTTCCAAAGTTGTCGAATGTCTTGATAAAGCTTTAAGTATTTCACATGAAAATGTAGACCATATAATGGAAGTTCAAGTACTTAGTACGATGGGAAAAGTTTATCTTGCATTAAAAGATTTTTCAAAAGCACAAGCATTTCAATGTCGAGCACTTGAAATGGCTTTATCAAATGCTGTATATGCTGCTGGACAAAATGTAAATATTAATTCAAAATTTGTTCGTTTAACAAGATTAAAATTAGGTACACCATTAAGATTAATGGGTGATTTTGAAGGTGCAAATAAATGTGTTGAAGTAATATTTATTTAAAAAAATAAAAAAACTTTAAGATTTATATAGATATTTGTAATCATAGGAAGCTATGCGAGCAGCATCTAGTCTCGGAGATCGACCAGTTCAAGCCAAGTGTCTTGTATGCATCGGTGATATACAACGTTCGCAAAACAATAATGAGGTAGGTAGGAAGTCATACACAAAAACAAATAGACGTAAATATAGTGATGTTTGATCGATAACAAGTTACCTCCCGGTGTGGAATACACACACATATTGCCATTTAATAAACATATGCTTTAATCGTGATGTCTTACGTCTATCTTTCTTTTATCTTTATGTATCAAGGTCGCATGTAAAAAATACGAAGCAGCTATTCAGATGTTACAAGATATGAACGATCGATATAGTTATACGCTTGCTATGATTGGTCTGGTTAAATCATTATTGGCACTTAATACACAAAAACAAATGGTAAGTAATTAAGAAAATTAAAATGTTTTCTTTTGTTTATCATTTTTTTTCCATATGAATCAAAGAAATTGTAAAAGAAAAATTAGTTTTTAAAATATATAATTTAATAAGACTCGTATTTTGTCAACTACTAATTGTTACTAATGACATAATAATTATATATGATGAGAATGTCAAGCTTTATCTGGTCTATCATTTATATTCTCGATGATATTTCTATCATCTATAGTCTTTAACAAGGAAAAGAGGATAAGATTGATTTTAATGATTTATTTGTTATATTATCAACAAATAAGATAAATATTCTTTTAGCAATGATAATTAGAAAAAGCATTATGATATATATGTAAGTACATCCATGGCATGACATTTGATTGAATGAACTTGTTATTAATGGTAGACATTTATAGTATGAATCTATAATAACGAGAAAATAACACATATTTCTTTGACAGTCAAAAATCTAGTAATTATATTGTATATGATGTTGCGTTTATTTGGAAAACTTTTAATTAGAGATACAACAAATCTAGAATAAATTTGAACCAAAGATATTGAAATCGAATTAAGTTTACATTTGGTCTTAACTGATCCAAATCTAAAAGGTTTGGTAAGATAAGATGTCAACAACAACAGTATACTTCACTAGAGGTGCATCATGCTCAAAAAACAATTTAGAATTTGAGATCAAATCTAAACTCAAATCCGAATCTCAATCCTTAAACCCAAACCTAATAAGACAAATTGTAAGGCTTTGGATCTGTTGCATCCCTTCTTTTAGTATTATATAATCTAGGAGAGGTTTACGAAAAATTGAATTTGTCCTGTTTTGTTTTTATAATTATCAAGTTACTAGGACTTTCATATTTTTCATCCTTTAGCTCCTTGAGTACATGAGTCGTCTTGGATGTGTGGGTTTTCTTCATTCACATCAGCAATGAATGCAAGAGGGAATTACACTTGTTTCAACAGATTTTTCGTAGAAGACAAGACTTAAAAATGAGCTGACATTACCTCGAATAACTTTTTTATGATCATGATCACTTCCTCTCCCATCATAAAAAGCCTAGATCTACCCTTGATTCATACTTCAAAAGGACTAAAGGGACATCAAAAAATTCTTATAGCTTGAGAAGGTATATAAACATAAAAGTAAAACGAAATAAATTTGATTTCTTGTGAACCTATATAATCTTTTAGGCAAATGATATTCTTGCAACAGCATTATCAACATCAACATCAATGGGTAATAAACTATTACAAGCTCGATGTCATCTATTAAACGAACGTATACTTACATCGGATAATCGATTAGACGAAGCTCGATGTGTACTAGATACAGCTCAACGTCTTTATCAAGAAGCAGATCTTATATGTTCTGTTTGTAAAATGTCAATGGGTATGAAACCTGATCGTATACAAATTTTACCATGTACACATATATTCCATGAACGGTAATAAAAATGTTCATTTTCTTGTTTTTATTATCAAATTATCTTTATTGATTAGATGTATTATGGATTTATTGCAAAAATGGACTCATCAAGCCCAATCATGTCCCAAATGTAATCAAAATGTTTTATTTAGTAGAAGTTATATTGCATTATTATGTTCTTGATAAATAATCTAATTTATTTTTTATTTTTTTGTTTAAATTTCTAATGTCAAATCTCGGTGAAATTTTTTTATAAAGTTAATCAGATGTTAAGGAAGAGAAAAAAAAACCAACGCAAGTAAAAAGACTATGAATCACAAGAATATCATAATAAACTAATCACAATTCTATTGTTTATTTTTTATAATTATAAAAACCAGCGCCAGTTTTCTTGCCCAATTTACCTTCACTAACAATTTTATTTAATAATTCACTTGTTTTAAATGATGGTTCATTAGGATAACGTTTTTTCCATCCATCAACAATATATTTTGATGTATCTAAACCTACATAATCTAATAATTCAATGGGTCCCATTGGATAACCAGCACCTAATTTCATAGCTGTATCAATATCTATAACAATAATATATTATAAAGACAAAAAATTAAAAAAAAAAACTTTGATATTTGTTTATTACCTTCAGCTGTAGCATCACCACGTTCGATCATTCGAACTGCTTCAAGAAGATACGGTACTAATAAACGATTAACAATGAAGCCTGGTGTATCCTATAATAGAACAGATGAAAAAGAAAATCATTCGTTAGTAATGGAACGTCATAAAATTAAAGCATGTGTATCGGAAGATAATCGACGTGTCTAGAGCAAATTTTTATATCTTACATGTATTTTAAGTTACTCAATATATCCTGAAAAAATTAGCATTAAAAGATATCGAATAATAAGACATAAATTTTTGTTTAGATAGTTGATATGTGTCTAGAGCACTAGTTTTAAAGAGAAATCTTACTGAAAATATCATCAAAGATGAAGTTCTTATTGTAAAGTTCATCTTGAAGTTTTCGGATATTGTTCTTATATAGTTAAAGTGATATTTGCTATTTGCTTTTTCATTAATTAATTAGTGAACTATTATCTGGTTTAAAAAAAAACGAGCTGCTACTATTTGAATAAGTTTTAGTAGCAACAAGAAAGAGATCTGCAGTTTACAACATTCAAACGGAGAAGAGTAAGTATTGTCGAACTATATCGAAATTAGATGGATTAGCAATTGATCAATCAGATGAGTTCTTGACCGAGATTTTTGAAAACGATATTGTCAAGCTATTTTCATTTCGGTTCCGTTCCAAAGTTATAAGACTATTGTCGAGATCTTCGATTTCAGCCAATTGATCTGTGATTATCTAAAAAAACTACTTGACAGAGACAATTTCCATGTGGCGACGAGCGGCGATATTTGCTTCAAGATTCATATTGATCTGACACTGTTATCTTAATATTTCAGAAATAGATAACAGAGACAGATCACAAGTCAAGAGGCTAAAAATCAAGGGGTCTCAATAAAAGTCTTATAACTCTCGAGCGGAACTAATTAGGAATCTTGGCTGTGTATAGATCAACAGAGAAGAATCTTTTCTATTGATTAGTTCTAATGAGAGTCTAATTTAAAAGGAAAATAAATGCAGAATATCGTTTTTAACAATCTCTATCAAGAATTCACTTGATTGGTCAATGCTGACTAATCGAATTTCGATATAATCTGATGATTCCAGATCTTCTCTGTTGAATTATTAAAATCGTAGTTCTGTAGCTCTTTTTTATTTTTTTGAGTTATTGCAAAAATACTCATGATTATTATTTTTTTGGGCAAACATTAGTCAATTAATTTTAATTAATATACAGCTGAAATAGCTAACATTTTTACACATATCTATATTAAAAGAACTTATTCGGAAAAATAACTTAAGTAACGGATCAAAATCAAATGAAAGATCAATACATTTTGTTTTGCATGAAATAGCCCAGATATTCAAAAAAATAATAGATTTTAGAAAATTTAAAAATCTAACATACCTTGCATGATACAGTTGTTTTACCTAATGCTTTACCAAAAGTTAATAATGTTTGAAATGTTTCATCACTTGTTGCTGATATACGAATAACTTCGAGTAATTTCATAACCGGTCTAAGAACAAATTGAAATTCTGATGAGAAAACGTTCTTTTTTTTTTGTTTAAAATCAACTCAACAAAAAATAAAGATTTTCTTCATTATAACTTACACTGGGTTAAAGAAATGTAAGCCACCAAATTTATCTTTTCGTTGAACATCTTTAGCAATATCAGTAATTGGTAATGATGATGTATTACTTGTAAAAATCGTATGTCTAAAATATATATAATGATTCGAAAGTATATATATATCAAGAATAGATTTATAAATATACTTTGGTGCAGCTTGATCAATTTGTTTAAATAATTTTTGTTTGATTTCAAGATTTTCAACAATTGCTTCAATAACAATATCTGTTGATTGTACAGCATCATTAACATTTGTACTTGTTTTAATTCGACTAGTAACATCATTTAAATATTTTTCTCCACGTTGTTGATCTTTTTCAAATTTTTTTTTAATAACACGTTTTAAACTTGTTTGTATTATATTTAGACTATTATCAAGAAATTCTTGTTTTTGATCAACAATAATAACTTGATGATTCGTTTCAGCAGCAACCTATATGAAATTTTTCTTATTGAAAAAACATTGATTTGATGTTTTTAAAAACTTGCTTGAGCTATTCCTGAACCCATAAGACCACCTCCAATTACAGTTACAGTTTTAATAGTTCGTCCTAGTGAACTATTAACTTTATTAGCAATTGATGAAGTAGCCATCTGAAAAAGAATATATATATATATATATAAGTTTATTTATATAAACCAACACCTTTACAATAAGTTCAGTGGTTTTTTTCTTTTTATAAATAAGAATATAATTATACATGACATAAAACAACAATTGAAAATACATTTTAGTTTAAAAAGGAAAAAAGAAATCACTGGGTAAGTGGCGTTGTTGGTACACGCATACGTATTGTAGCTGGTCGAAAACAATGCATACATCTTTGAAGTTGTTCTTGATCTAAACGAGCACAACATTCTTGACACATTGGAAAATGTTGACAAGGATCATATTCATGTGTAGCTGCATTTGCTGTACATATAAGACAAGCATTATCTATTGTTTCAGAACTTGCAATATTTAGACTTAATGAACGAGATGAAAATGAATTTATTCTATTAACTGGTGGACGTTCACTTTTACGTTTTGTTGCACCTGAAAAAAAAAGAGAGAATTGAATTAAATTCAAAAAGAAGAAAAAAAACAAGTTATTAGTGCAGCGTCTTTGAAGGCTTTAATGTGAAATTCATATGTTTTCTTTAGCTTCATAATACTAGTACAAAATACACTCTCTCGCCTTACAGAATAAAAGGTCATGGCCTTCTATTTATGGCAAGTATTTTGCTAACATTTACCTAGAAAAAAACAAGAATTTTTCGAAAACAAAAAAACTCTTCTAATATTCAAACAGGAGTTTTTAGTAAATAAATGTCGCGGAAAACATTATTTTTACTTGTTCAAAAGCTGGGTTTGTTAATGTCAAAATTCTCTGAGTTTTTGAAAAATCTCTAGCATTCTATTATGTCTTATGAAATTTTTCTTATGTATGATCTTTTATTCGGAAAGACGGGATTTACATATTGTGCAAAATCTCTAACATACATAAGTTGTTTTTTAAGCATAATATATCGCTTGAAAAACGATTTGTCTTATTTTATCTCAAGCTCTCACATAAAATGTCTGAAAGTATTTTCTGATTTAATTAGCCTTGTATCACTTGTCTGTGTTCTGTCTAGGTCGATTGAAATACGGAAGGATTGTCAAATATATATTGAATCCGGCTATTGATAGCAATCAGCCTTTTCTTTTTTATCTATCGAGACATTATTTTATGCTTTTGTTTTTTTGTTTAATATTTAGTAAATTACGTTTAGAAAAACTGCAACCTGTATGAAACTAATATAATATTCTGAATTCATTTTTAATAGCAACTTTAAAATTTTTCTTAGAGTCTAGTGTTTTTTTGCTTGATGTTTTTATATCATCATCAAACTCTATGAAAACTAGCTGGACCAATCATCAAATTGATAAATAAGAAAGCTGAATGTACAGCAGATCTCAACGCAATATTATATATCTACATAAATTACAAAAAGAAAAAAGATTAATAACTTACCACTTTTATCAAATATAATACGTTTAATTTTTTGTGTACCAAACACTTCATATTTTAATCGTCCTTGTGGGACTAAAAATAACAAAATTACAATTGAATCTAGAAAACTATATATATATATATATTGAATATACTTCGTCCACATTCTAAAATAATACGATTCACATAATCAAGACCGCGTACTTTTTGAATAAAATCACAAAGAGGATAAAATGTTGCATGTTCTTCAAATGGACAATCGCTAGATGAAAATTACAAAAAAAAAAAAAGGAAAATTTAATCATTATTTTAATTGAATAAGAAAAAAAAAACAAAATTTATTTAAATACCGTGGTTCAAAATTTTGTAATTTATTACCACAATAATAACAACAAACATTACCTCCACCCATATAGAAAAATCCAGCTTCGGCCATCATTTGATTCGAAAGACGACTACCACTTGGATAAACCCAATCAGATGTAAATGATTTAATACGTTTTTCAATTTTTGAATAAGATGGAAATTCTGGATAAAGCAATTGACTTTTTAACTATAAGAAAAATCAATTTATGCTGTTTTTTTTTTGTTTTATCTTAAAAACAAACAAACTTTCATACCATTGTAACATTTGGATAAAGTCCACCGGCTTCTCGTCTAACCCATGTACACCATGGATGAGTTTGATCCATCATTATTCCATTTGCATGTCGATGTACACGCATAGGTGTCCATGGTTCATCACTTACTGCTGAACGTGCAACAGTTGGTCGTGTACGCATAATATCTTCAAATTGTCTTTCAGTTAAATAGACTTCACACCATGGACATTGAATAGCAGTACCTTCACCATTTAAATAAAATCCAACATAAGCAAGATGTGCAACAGGAACTTGTGCAAATGTTTCACGATTATGTTTTATAAATGTATCTAAACGATTTGATTCATGAGCGAGTAACGAACGTATATCAACTGGAGAAGAAATAGATGGTGAAGATTCAATTAAAGGTGATAAGTCATGTGAACCACTATCTGATGAAGTACTCTCGTTGTTACGTTCACGTCTTTGTTCTTGTTCTTTAATTTGTTTAAATGGATTTATATTCTTTGACATACTAGCCGGCGTTACTTGACTATGACTAGGACCATTACAAGTGATAGGATCTGAACATGTTTCAGCTTTTACTGTTGTTAATGATTCATGTGGTGTTGCTGGTGGAGGTGGTGATTGTAGAGGTGCTGATAGAGCTGGTGATTGTGGAAATAGAATACCAGAAATAAAATGCGTAGTAGATGGTACAGCTACAGGTTCAAGATCTTCATCTTCTGAAGAATCTTCAGATTCTTCGGATAGAAAAATCTCATCAATCTTATGTGTCAACGATGGAGATGTATCATTAACGTTAGGTGATATAGTCAAATTAGCTGATACAGTATCTGTACCATTAAACATCGGTGATGTCGTTAAAGTAGACGAGGCAGAATCTGCAGTCGTTGGAGATAATAATAATGATGCTTGTGCACAATATGATGTTTGACTTTGTGCTTCATCTAATACAAAATAAATTGAAATTTCATTTAGTAAGAAATATAAATATTTACTTGATTTCTTTCGATCATGAAGAACTTGTGCAATATATTTAACACCTAATATTTCTTTAACCCATTCACATGTTGGATAAAAATGAGCATGTAATTGTGCTATATTATATTGTGAATATTTTTCTCGTCGTATTTTATCACTAATTGGTATTGCATTACCACATTGAAAACATCGCATACGTCGTTGTTCTATAGAAAATCATATACTTTAAGATATAAAATAAATAATAATTTTTTACCATCAAGAAAAAATCCTGCTTCTGCTTTCTCACGTATAGAATAAGTATCAGTTCTATGTCGTTCTTTAGAATTTTCAAATGATTTAATACGATCAAATATTGATGAATATCGTGGATATTCTGGAAAACGTTCTCGATGTGGTATAACAATATTAGCTGGACATTGTGCACGTACCATAAGACAATCAACTGTTGGTCCTTTGTGTTGATCATTTGTTGTTGTTGTTGTTGTTTTTTTTTTAATTGATTGTTTAGTTAAATAACGATGTTGTGACATAATTGACTGACCTAATTTTGGTTCAATTGTTACACCACAATATGCACAACGAATAAATTTTGTATTTTTAAAACGATAAAAACCACATGCAGCTAATTCACGACATAAACGTTGATCATTTTCAAATTGATTAGGATCATTTGTATTTGATTCACTAAATGATAAACCAAGAAGTGTTTCAAGACGCCATTTTTCATTAACAGTTTGTATATCACCAGTTTTAATACTATCAATTGCACGTAATACTTCGCAATCATTTTTACGTTTACGATGTGTACCAACAGCAGTCATACCATAACGCCAATCATCAACTTCAAGATCACACATAAAACATTTTACACGTAATTCTTCACCTAAATAATAAAATCCAGTATCAGCTAATGCTTGAGCTGATATAGGAGCATTTCGAGGCCATTTTTCAAATGTTGCTAAACATTCATCGATTGTTTGAGGTTTTTTTTCATTACTTATAGACATAGTTAAAGGTTTTGATGTCATAGGATTACGATCACATCGTTCTATACAAAATATTATTAAAATAGAATTTTTTGTAATTTATAATTGTCGTTTATATTTACCTTGAGTAGAAACTGTTTGAAAATATCCAGCATCAGCAACAAATTTAACACCAGCTGTATAAATAACAAAACGACATGGAAAAAAACGTGCATGTTCAAGTTGAACAATATTTTCATTTGTAGAACATATTGCTGATGACCAATCAACTAAAGTATTACCACAATAGAAACATGTTACACCATCATTAGGTCCTAAAATAAAATGATATAAAAAAAATTCTTATCTAAAATAAATAAATGAATAAATAAAAAAAAACCTGAAAAATAAAATCCATGTTTAGCCATTGTTTGTGGTGTAACAAATGTTTTTTGTGCTCCATTAATTTGTTTTTGTGATTCAGGCCATGATTCAAATGATTGAAGACGTACTGTATAATTAATATATTCAGGTTCTTCAGCATCATCCCATTGTGGTTGTTGTTTTGATGATAATGGTGTATGAAGATCATCAATATTTGTACCAGATTCACATAATAAAAAAGAACAACGTTTTCCAAGAAATGAAACTTTTTTTCGATGTAATTTTCGAAAATAATTTGAAGCATATTCAGAATTTTCATCGATATTTTCAAGATTTATACTAACACCACATTGTGAACATACACATTCATCTTCTCGATAAATAAAACCAGCAAGTGCCAATTGACGACGTGTTATGGATGGAAGATGTGTTAGACTACAAAACAAAAACAAAAAATAAGAATTTATTTTTCATCATCAAAGATAATTACTTCTCAAATGTTTGCAGTCGATATCGTTCCGATGCAACAATGTGATCAATTTCAGAGATTTCTGTTGTTGTTGTTGCCGTCATTAGCAAATCTAGCGCATTTTTTTACCTGATGAATTTATCAACATTATCTAAAATGTAATGAAAAGAAAATACCATTGTTGAAAAACAAATAACCATTTTAGTATGTT